ACAAGATCCAGATCAGTCCTCTTCAGCTGCGTAGTTTTAATAAAACAAAAGTAAAATTAGTAAGAAAATTTGTTTTGAAAAGTTAAAAAGGGTAAATGAAACGATAGTTTACCTCCTTCTCAAAGTAGGTTCGGCCACCGACAACCAGACCGTCAGCAATAGTGATCTCTCGCAGAATTTTGGCCTTCTCTTCCTTGTTCTTGGTCTTCTCAAGGTCAGCCACCTGCTCAGAGAGCTTGAGCAAAAACTCCTCAAGGTCGTGGAAACGCTGAACAGCGGCGGCAACAATGAGGTGGTCAAACTCGTTGCGGAAGTCACCCTTGGCAGGGGTGGGGCGAGCTGGCTTGGGCGTAGGGGCGGCTACAAATAAATGATTGAAAATTGAAACATTTTTGTAGCCTAAAAAGGTGCAATGTCATTGCTTACCGCAAGCAACAGCGAGGAGGGCGGCGAGGGCGATGACGAACTTCATTTTGATTGTCTGTTTGTGGTAAGACACTGACAGTAAGGTGAAGAAGGATAGACTGTGTTTGGATCTTTTATATGCATTGCAGTTTGAGGGAAAAGATACACATGTGGTTGAGTGTACTGATAAGCGTACGTGGTGCTCACGTTCATAAGGACGTCTAAACGGTTCAGATTTTGATGATAAAGCTCAAAATAATGCCATTTTTGTACCTTGGAAAGGACAAATTGTCCAAACTTTTAATATGACTCAAATGAAAAAACCGCACAACGATGACATGATGGTACAATCCATTGTACTGTNACCTTGGAAAGGACAAATTGTCCAAACTTTTAATATGACTCAAATGAAAAAAAACCGCACAACGATGACATGATGATACAATCCATTGTACTGCAGTCTATCAAAAAGTGAATAAATGTACAGTATTTGCACACAAAATACTGTTAGTTTCAATAACCACTGCAGGTGGTCAAATTTTATCATAGCGTCCTTCCTCAACCTTTCTCAAGCAATCTGAACCCACATTGAGATTCAAGGCTATCGATTAGACAAACAAAATGTATTTAATTTTAAGTAATTGTTTAAATTTTTAATTAGGTTATTTGATATAAGTGGAATGTGCTCAAGTTGACATTGAATACCTATTTTGATTACTTTTGCAAATCCGCCATCACAAGTGGTGGTCCCCTGCTGTCAAAGTGCAATCATCTTACACTGATAGTGGATCTGAAGCAAAAAACATGATGTAAGCAGCTCCCAATATTGACAAAAGAATTGTATTAAACAACAGCATTCTTATTTATGCCTTCTGTGCTTGCACTGTGCTCACAATTTTGATAATTAAATTATACTAGAGTACACGTTTACTATAGTTCAGTTTTATTTATTTTTAAATGCGTTATTATTCATGATAAAAGTAAATTAGTTTTAACTACTGATATAACACTTTAGAATTTACATATTGGTTGCCTTTTACTGAGTGGTTCATTTAAAATATATTTCTTTTACAGTAAGTACTCAGATGGCTGACACTGTGCCGGGTTTTGTTTTGCTAGTGTTTTTGCCACTTCATACTTCGCTCACATTAGTTCACAGTGGGTTATTTTAACCAAATGAACTGTCAACCNAAATATATTTCTTTTACAGTAAGTACTCAGATGGCTGACACTGTGCCGGGCTTTGTTTTGCTAGTGTTTTTGCCACTTCATACTTACATTAGTTCACAGTGGGTTATTTTAACCAAATGAACTGTCAACCATCTGATTACTTATTGTAGATTTTACTTTCTACAACTTTCTTTTATTACCCAACACTTACAACAAATTTAAAAACAGTTTTTAAATGTTTGTTATTGCAAATCAGTTTATTAATTTAACAAAATAATAACAAAAAAAATATAGTTTAGTGAGTCTTGACAGCCTTCACCTTAACCTCGGCTTCCTTCAGGTCCTTGACGAGAAGCTTGGAGAGGGCCTGCACTTCCTCAAAGTTGAATCGCTCCAAGATGTTCAAGTCGGTTCGCTTCAACTGTATGGGTAGTGTTTTCATAGAAAAAATTAGTGAAAATGAAACAAAAAGTTATAGTTTTACCTCCTGTTCAACGACGCGGGCACCACCTTCAATGAAGGCAACGGTAACTTCGATCTCTCGAACAATGCGATCCTGTTCCACCTTGGTCTTAGTGGACTCTAAACAAGACAATAATTAAAAACTGATAATCAATCAAATCGCGCCAAATATGCCAAATANGGCTTCCTTCAGGTCCTTGACGAGAAGCTTGGAGAGGGCCTGCACTTCCTCAAAGTTGAATCGCTCCAAGATGTTCAAGTCGGTTCGCTTCAACTGTATGGGTAGTGTTTTCATAGAAAAAATTAGTAAAAATGAAACAAAAAGTTATAGTGGAATTGATTTACCTCCTGTTCGACGACGCGGGCACCACCTTCAATGAAGGCGACGGTGACTTCTATTTCTCGAACGATGCGATCCTGTTCCACCTTGGTCTTAGTGGATTCTAAACAAAACAATAATTAAAAACTGATAATTAATCAAATCGCGCCAAATATGCCTTACCGAGGTGGGCGATTTCCTCACTCAGTCTGAGCAGATGTTGTTCCCCCTTGTACATGCCCTCCATCAGAGTGGAGACCAAAAGGTGGTCGAACTCGTTTCGGAAGTCACCCTTGGCGGGCACCTTCGGACCTCCCTGGGCTGTTAAGTAAATTGGTTAATGGTCAGTGAAATTTAAAAAATCAGGCTTCAATGACTCCTACCCATGACGGCACCGAGGAAGGCAAGAGCGAGAATGGCGAACTTCATTGTTAGAGAGTGGTGAAAGGTGCTTTGAGACTACAAAGGATGAGACCAGTCGATTGGAAAATGCCCTCTTTATATAGCAATGAGGCAGCAGCTTGTGACAGCAGTCTCCAGGTGGGTAAGGTGACAGTGTCATTCACTAACAATTGATGCTTAGCATTTTTTAACTTAAATCTTATCTTAAGAGATCAGGACTCTCTTGGAGCAAGTGAACCATGTGTGCAATTTGGGCAAACGATTGCTTTTTTAAAATTAAAATTGCGATTGCAAGTAGTGATGATTAGGCACAGTAGTGGTGACCTTAAAATGTGTAAATATTATTTATTTATAAGCAGTAACTTTACACTTTAACCTTTGATCTCAAAGCATCAATGACTATCTTGATGATATCACAGACAAACAGAGCGAAAGCATCTAAACAGTGATTACTACGTTTTGGTGCGCAACATTTCGCATTAGTGTGCGGTCCCTGCCGAACCAAGGTTGATGTGATGCCTAAGTGTACTGTAGTACACTTGATCCTACTGCTGTGCTTTCTGCTAGTCGTACTGCTGGCATTGTATAATGATCTGCACTTTCCACTTCAATTTGCCGCCAGCTCAATTGACGCCAAGTGGCTCGCTGTGGAGTTGATTGCCAGTCAACAGCTGGTGGCGAATGAATCGCTTGGACGGTACCTAGTAGAGAATGAGGTAAGCATACCACCTTTTCTAGTAATTTAATTTGTAACAATGTTCACTTTAAGGGAACGCTTTATGTTCTTCTAAATGTCGGCGTTGGCTTTATCTTTGGATTCTCACTCATGAGGGCGATCATTGGAGGCCTGGTTGTGGTGCTTTTTCAGAAAAGTAAAAGAAAATCGGCACTGTTACTGGTCGTCTACCTTGCAATGTCAACCTTTTGGTGGCTGATAAATATCCTCAGAGGTGCTCCCAAGTGTTCTATTGATTTTCTTTCTGTGACAGTATCATTGCTGAACATTTTTTTCAGTGTGCAAACTGCTGAAGCATATCAGGGCTCTGAGGGTGAAGGTAGAATGTCTCCAATTGTATAACACTGTAACATTATTTCAAATTGACATTCATTAAAGTATAGCAGTCTACTTGGCTGATATCTTTTTCTTCGAATCGTATGACAGTGATGATAATGCTCACTCTTATCAGAGAAAAAATTTCCAGGCTCATTTCACTTTGTTTATCCTTCAGACTAGAAAGAGTAAGCTAAGTAAGCTACAACAAATCAACATTTCCAAACATCAAATAGCAAACCATGAAAGACCTTGTGATAAATGGAACAGAAAAGGGCAAATTGGAACGCCGTTCAGTTCCAGTGGTGAACATTGCCGATGTCGAGCGAGAAGCTCTGAAGCGCATACCGAAACACTCTCTGGACTACTACCGCAGTGGGGCGGGCGATGAGATTACCCTTGCGGAGAACTGCCTCGCTTTCAATCACCTCCGAATTCGGCCCCGCTTTCTGCGCGACATGAGCACCCGAGTGACGGCCACCACAGTGCTGGGCATTCCAGTGGCCTTTCCCGTGCTGGTGGCGCCCACGGCCATGCAACGCATGGCGACGCCTCTCGGCGAGGTGGCCAATGCACTGGCCTGCGAGGCAGAGGGCACCATCATGACGCTGTCCACCATTAGCACCTCATCGCTGGAAGAGGTGGCTCACGCGACGCCCAATTCGCCCAAGTTCTTCCAGCTGTACATCTACCGAGACCGAGAGCTAACACGACGACTGGTAAAACGGGCAGAACGCGCCGGCTATCGAGCTCTGGTGCTCACCGTAGACACGCCTTTCTTCGGACAGCGATACGCTGATGAGCGTAATCACTTCAAACTGGACGCCCACCTGAAGATGGCCAACTTTGAGGAGGAGGACAAGGAGGCCAGCGAGCGGATCAATCGCGTGGAAGCCAATCTGAAGTCAGGCTCGTCTGGTCTGGCAGAGTACGCCAATTCGCTCTTTGATCCGTCCATCACCTGGGACGATATAGCCTGGCTAAAATCCATCACCAGTCTGCCCATTGTTGCAAAGGGTGTGCTTACGCGAGAAGACGCTTTGAAGGCGCTAGAGACGGGATGCTCGGCCATTCTCGTGTCAAACCACGGTGGACGACAGCTGGACACTGTCCCGGCAACGGTGAGTGTTGCACAGTTTGAGTAAAAGTGAAGTTTAAACGATATTTTTGTAGATTGAAGCTCTGATTGAGGTGGTTGACGCCGTCCAGGGCCGTTGTGAGGTGTACCTCGACAGTGGAGTCCGTCGTGGAACAGACGTCTTTAAGGCGCTGGCCCTCGGAGCACGAGCTGTTTTCATTGGGCGACCGATGGTCTACGGACTGGCATATGATGTGAGTTCTCAAACAATTCACCAGTTTTTTCACTAACTGATTTTACTTTTACTAGGGCCTGGCTGGAGGTCGGAAGGTGCTGCAGATGTTTCGAAGAGAGTTTGAGCAGACAATGGGCTTGGCTGGTTGCGCCACTCTTGCCGAGATTCAGCGATCAATGATCGTTCCCGCGGGATATCTCCTGTCAAAACTGTAAAACAAAAAGAGTGAGCGAGACATTGAAGAAAGCATTCAGTGAACTAATGATGAACTTTGTAAAGTGAAAAAGAAAGCGTTCATTGCCTCCTCAACCCTTCTTTTCGGGTTCAGCGAACCAGAGTTCAAGGTCCACAGTGTTGACTGCAAGAGGANAGGTCGGAAGGTGCTGCAGATGTTTCGAAGAGAGTTTGAGCAGACAATGGGCTTGGCTGGTTGCGCCACTCTTGCCGAGATTCAGCGATCAATGATCGTTCCCGCGGGATATCTCCTGTCAAAACTGTAAAACAAAAAGAGTGAGCGAGACATTGAAGAAAGCATTCAGTGAACTAATGATGAACTTTGTAAAGTGAAAAAGAAAGCGTTCATTGCCTCCTCAACCCTTCTTTTCGGGTTCAGCGAACCAGAGTTCAAGGTCCACAGTGTTGACTGCAGGAGGAGAGAGAGAGAGAAGGCACTGCAGTTACTGCTAACGGCACTCATTAGCATCTGCCGGCTGGACTTGTTTACCAACAGGAGAGAAAGCGCTCTGCTGCGGCTCCCCGTCTTCAAATGGGAGAAATGAGAAAAGTGATGAGCAGACATACCTGCACAAAAAAGTGAAACCAGTTTGAGTGAGAGTGTAGTAAAATCAGCAGAAGATAATCGAGTGGATCATCGTTAATCACTGAAACCTGCGAGTGAGATGGTGGTCAAGATGAAAGAGAAAGAGTGTCCATCGCGCGGCTCTGTCCGCCAAACCGGTAATTCTTTTAGCAAGAAAAGGGTTGTAATTGCCTGTTTACGGAACTGACATTGAACCGAGAGAAGACAGGCTCCGCTGCACTGCACTTCAGTCGATTGTTGAACTCACCAGCTGTAGATGATGAGGTCTGACATCTCCAGATTCGAGTATATAAAGCCAATCGGCAGAACGCTAGAAATCATCAGATCATCCACTTCTGAATCATCCAGCAAAAGCACCTAAGCGAACAAAATCACAAAAATGCTTCAAGTGAGTAAATTGAGCGAGTAACAGTACCGGTTGCAGTACTAACTTTTCCTTTCCATCTCTCTCAGCATCTCCTCTTCAGCACTTTTCTGGTGAGCGCACTTGCCTACGGCGGTGCTCGCAAAGGCGGCTACAGTGCCCCGGCACCAGCACCGATGGCGGCGCCCAGCTATGAGGCACCACCCAGCTACGAGGCTCCCCAGCTGCCGAGCTACCCTAGCTACGAAGCCCCCAAGCAGACGTACCAGGCCCCGAAGCAGGCCGCCCCTGCCGGACCGGTGGATCTGCCAGTGCAGTCGACGTACAACCGCCGATTCATCGACCTGCCCACTGCTGCCGCCTACCCCCAGGCGCCCCTCTCGGTGAACATTCCCGCCTCTGAGCAGCCGCTTTCCTTCACATTCCGTTCTCGATCCAGTCCGCTGAATATTGAGCACTACCACGAGGGCAGTCTCGGCTCCTACCAGGAAACCAAAAGTGAGGACGCACCTCACTACAGAGTCCACACAGTAACCCGGCCAATATTTCACAAGATCGAAGAGGTTATAGTTCCTCATCGTATATCTTCGCAACAGATTCAGGACGTGAAGGAGAGTGTGGAGCAGGTGGTTGCGAAACAAGCACAATACAAAGCACCCAAGCCAGCACCGAAACAGACCTATCAGAAACCGACACAAGCTCCTAAAACTTCAACCTACCAAAAAGCAGCACCAAAAGCACAAACCAACAAAGTCAAACTAGCCAATAAATAAAAAGTGTTTATTCAGTTAATAAATATTTAAAAACATGTGACTCATTGGAAATATCGGAATTATCTGTTTAAAGTAAACGTGAACGTCTCTACAGTTATAGTTCAAATTTTCTGTAAAGTTAAAATGTCTAATTCTTGTAGTCGAACCAATAAATGTTTTGATAAGTTGACTTTCTAAAGTTGGCTCTACGACAGTAATACATTTACTAGGTAAAGGTAGTTTTGAAAATTCCTGCTTAGAATGTGATATTATTTCTGGCTTCACATCAGGGAGCAGATCGGCAAACTTGATAATTTTTTTGTACTCTCGAGCAGGAGTTTTTTGCAAATAATTGTTTTCGTAATATAGTTTTGATTGTGCAACTACATCTTCTGTTGTCACACTCAATCCAATCATTGACGCTAAAATTTCTGCAGCTGAAGAGATAAACTCGATGTTTGTGCTGTAAAGACCATTGATATTCGCTTTATGTCGATTCTCTCTTCCCAATCTAGAAAGCTCCGCATTTGCCACTTCGACATTGACAACAAATACTCTAAGCCAAACCGTGAAAGCCCATTCAATACAGTTATCAATTTGGCAATCAGCTAAAGCAAGTAAAGAGTTGATTGTTTTGCTGATTTCGATAAAAACACTTCCCTCCAGCTCTTTCAACAAAGCAGCACTTCCCTTTCGCTGGACGAACCAGTTTACAAGGCGCCCTCTTATGGTGAAAAGAGACATGAAAAGGTGGAGTGCGTATCTAAAATGCATCCAATCATTGTCAATGTCGTCAAGTAAACTGAATTTTGGAACCTCTAATTGGTCAAACATTGCAGTCATTCTAAAACAAAAAACAAAAAAAACGTTAATAATTTGAATTAAATTTAAACTTATTGTAAAAATTCTTACTGCACGTAATCGTTTGCCCTTGCTGGATCTATAATGAAACTGTTTCTTGGTATTTGAGTAAACGAAGTAGAGTTGGCGTTTGTTTGATGATAATCAACTAGCAAAGCACAACCAATTTTGACTACATCATCTCTTTGTATGTGCATTTCCATGAGTAAATTCTCAAATTTTCCAGAATCTCCTCGTGTTCCGTTGCAATTCTGGAGCAAATTGATCGCAAACACTATCATCGCATGTTCGGTAAAATAAACTTGTTTTCCAGTCAAGTCGCGTTGTAGTTTTTTGTGAAAAACTTTGACACCTGCATGCCAGCAAGCAGCAATTCGCTGATACAACTTTTCAGAATGTTTCAATTTAGCTGATTTATCGTCGTAAACAATATTTGCTAAACTTTTGTGGTTTTTTAGGCGGCCATTTTCTTTATAATTATCTGCGGTTACTCCAATGTAAATAAGACAACATAAAAACTCAAACAGAGATTTGTTTGAAGTCTCTGTAAACATTGAATACACATATGCTTTTAACTCAGCAAACGAAGACACATTATCGATTTTCTCTAAGATTACGCGGTATAAACTCAGAGTATCCGTAAGTGTCGTTTTATCTGTCATCATCGTATAAAGCACATGGTGGCAAGACATTATAATCCGCGCTTCTGTCAAAGCTGCTTTGCTTGAAGAGGTTACATTTTGAAGTTGTCTGATTGGCACTTCCGGATTAGTGTTTTGATTTGACCGATGGAATCTGTACGCCGATGAATCGCCTTCAGCTACTGATTTGGGCTTTTTGAAGTGAATGTCTGGCTTTGGTTCAATTTGTCCTAGAAAAGTATAAAAATTAGAAATGTATTCAACAATATAATAAACTTGCTTTTTACTTTTTGATTGCTGCTGGTGGCTAGATGGTCCAATTGCTCCTTCCGGTATTTTAGTCGGCGCCGTGGATACTAATAAACAAAAAATATTACTCAAAAAGTTACACATTTGTTAAATTATTTTACCATGAGTCGGTGGTGAAACGATGGAAGGAAAATCAACTTCCATTTTGATTTCCCGTGCATCCTGTCCCTTTAGTTGCGATGAACCAGAACCTTAAAACCCAAAATTTTAGTATTTTTAAAAATGATAATACTGTTAATTATTTTACCGTAAACAGGAGGTGAAACTGAAGGGGCATCAACTTCCATTCTAGTGGTCTGTGGCAAATGTCCATTGGGTTGAGAAGAAAAACCTTAAAAGTAAACATTTTAAAATTTTTGTAAATAATAATACAACTAATTAGTTTACCATGAGCAGCCGGCAAAACTTTAGGCAAAACGTCCGAGGCAGCAAATCCAGAAGAGTGGGCCGATGCATCTATAACATAACAAAACTTTTAATAATTTTGTAAACTATAATTATGTCAATTATTTTACCATGAGCAGCCGAAGAAGAAGGCCGAGACGTTTCATCAACCATATTCACATCTGAAGTGGCCGGCCCAGTGCGATGAACTGGTGCATCTATAAAATAAATATTTAGGTTACTGAAATGATTTCAAATTAAGCAATTTTAATATACTTACGCTGTCGAAGAATAGCAGCAAAACTTACTGCCATCATTCTCAAGATGAAATCGGCTGGTTGGCACAGTTTTTTGTGTTCTTCCGATAAGGCAACAAAATAACGTTTGCAGTGATTGCAACGCATCTTATGCTCGGAATCCTCTTGATCTCTTCCATCCACAAGACTCAGAACGAGAGAATTGAATCTCTTGAACGCTTCTTTTTTAATCGATTTCTTCGATACGTCATAAAAATCTGTGAATTAGTTAGTTTAGTTAGCTTTACAAAGTTATAGCAATTACGTTTTTGGAATTTTGTCAACACTTAATAATTGATTGCATTGCGCTAATTCACCTCATTCCAGTTTGTAGTGTACTATGCAATTTGTAAGTAATTTAATTCAAACATTTACATAGCGTTATTTATTTGGCACTCCGCTAATTGTGATAAATTGAACAAAACTGAATTTGCAACTTTCTAATTTTTAAAATCGAATCTATTTGCATTAATATGATTAATGTAAGAACTAAAAAACGAATTGAAAAAGGATGAAGCACTGAAAGTTAAACTAACTCTACCGATTTCGGCAGATAAAGCCTGTGCAATGTCTGCATCATTTACGGCACCACTCACTCATACACTCAACATTTTGTAAGCACTTTTTCATTGGTTGTTTGAGTTTTACTACAATTGTCCCTTTAACAAACTTGGCAATCTTTCTTTTTCACTGACATTAGCAGCAGCAATGCA